CCCAGCAGTAGTAGATGGTCAACACACAATGAACTCAATAATGTTTTGTAGACATTTTGTTTCATATTGCTTTGATTGGATTTTTTTTGGTCAACTGGTCTTTTGCTTGTATATTATGGTTTCTGATTTTGTGGTTTTACGAGTATCTTTGTGGGTCTTTCTTCCTTTCTTCCTTCCTTCCTTCCTTCCTTCCTTCCTTCCTTCCTTCCTTCCTTTCTTTCTTTCTTTCTTTCTTTCTTTCTTTCTTTCTTTTTTGTTTTTTCGAGACAGGGTCTCTCTGTGTAGCCCTGGCTGTCTTGCAACTCACTCTGTAGACCAGGCTGGCCTCGAACTCAGAAATCCGCCTGCCTCTGCCTCCCAAGTGCTGGGATTAAAGGCGTGCACCACCGCTGCCTGGCAGGTCTTAAAGTCCTAAGTCTTAAGGATAGGAAGTAGCTTCAGGCCATTTCCCTCCAGGCACAAGACTTGTCTTCATACCTCGCACAGTCCTTGTCCCTGGAACCCTGACTTTCCTGCCACCTGCCTTTCCTAACCCTTCTCACCCTTCCTTCACACCTGCCACCTCAGCTGCCACCCCTGCTGCTGTCTCTTTTTCTGCCTCTGATCAAACGGGCTGCCTCCATGAGTGGCTTGGGTGACTTCTTTGATAACATATTGTCTCCAAGTGGGACTCTGGCATTATTGTTTGGAGCCATATGCTTAAGACTTAAACCTCAGTGTCCAGGGATGAGCCCAGCTAGTATTGGGTCTGGTCAGCGATGGCCTTGTTGGTGACATGAACTTTGAGTTAAGATGGTTAAGGATTAGGTGAGAAAGTGCTGGACAAAACCCACGATCTCCTGGATGTATAACCAAGGGGCCTGCACATGTTGGAACATTTCTGGCCAGAAGAACTCCTTAGTCTCTGGGGTTCTTTTTTTTGTTTGTTTTACCATTTGTTGTAAGTTTTTGTTTGTTTGTTTTTTGAAACAGGGTCTCACTGTGTAGCCCTAACTGACCTGGAGCTTGCTATGTAAGACCAGGCTGGTCTTGGACTCACAGAAATCCACCTGCCTCTGCCTCCTGAGGACTGGGATTAGAGGCATTCTCCACACATCCTGCTGTGTGTGTGTGTGTGTGTGTGTTTTAAAAAATTATTTCTTTTTTAGATTTCTAATTCTCCCACTTACAAGCTATGCTAGCATTGTAGGCATTCCCCCTCCCCCCCATCCCTTGGCAATTCTGTACCATAGCCAAACTTTCACAGAGAGTTGGTTGTCACTTAAGGGCTCTATGTGGGTGAGGAACACTTAATCCTCAGGAATGAGGAGAGCCCATGCCATTGTGCCATACAAGTTGCTGCAAAGTTCTGTGCCTGCTTACTGCTATGCTCAGACCCTAGGCATGGGACATCAAGACCAGTGTCTAGGGAGCTCATTTAGATCCCCCTCAACTTCCCCAGGGACCCTTCAGAAACCTCTAAGACCCCTGAAGAAGGTATTTCCAAACGGATGCATCCCAAGTTTGGAGTGTAGTACTCACTTTGGCCAGCAGGGGTGCTGTTTCTTGGTAGGGGTTTGTGAAACTGTATGTAACTCACAGGCGATCACAAGGGCCCAGTGTTGGGTGAGTTTGAGAAGAATATCATCAAACCATGTTCAGGCAGCTTGTTTCTTTCAGGGGCTGTTCTGAGAGGGCTAGAGGCTTAGCCTTCTCAGAAGTTAACTAGAACACAGCATCCCCTGTCACAGAGTAATTTGCATGCCAGCTTCATGAATTTCCTGCCCCTTTCTTCCTGCCCTGGCTTTCTGAAAGCCAGGCCTCTCACATTTGCTTAGACTGTTGAGCCCTTGTTAGTAACTTGGGAGAGTATCTCCAGGAAGCAGTATCAAAAACTGCACTGACCTGACAGTCCCATCTTTCAGAATCTACGGAGCAAAACGTCCCACAGGGCAGTGTGGAGTGGCTTGCCCCTTCCCAGGTCCCCAGACTGGTGTTGCAAAGCAGAGAGGATGGCAGCTGGGATTCTCTCTGGGATTGTACGAACTAATATTTCTTTTTCAACACCCACTCTCAGATTTTGTCGTTCATCAGACTCTGCCGTACCAGTCGGTGTCAGTAGACACGTTCAACTCCAAGAACGATGTGTATGTGGCCATCGCTCAGCCCAGCATGGAGAACTGCATGGTGTTGGAGTGGGACCACATAGAAATGAATTTCCGGAGTTATGACAACATCACAGGTGTGTTGTGAAAAGAAGTATCCCCTGCCATAGTCAAGGAAAGGCTCGATTCCCTAACTTGGGGGGAGGCACATTCCAGTCCACACTAATGGTCCCTCTAATGTTTTCTCCATATGGTCAGAGATTGGCAATTCTAGAATTTCAGGTGGTGATTTCTCACTGGTGGTGATCCCTTTGGGAAAGAGGAGGTGGTGACTCCATGAGAAAGGTGAAAAGCTTTCTTTCCATGGTAAGAAAGTCACATGGCAATCCCATGGTCTGGCATACTTAAGGTGGCCTTAAGAGTTCAGACCCAGCTTTGTTTTTGTTAGGCTGATTATTTACTAATGAACTAACACACACACACACACACACACACACACACACAGAGACACACACACATACATACACAGACACACACACATACACAGACACACACACATACATACACAGACACACACACAGATACACACACACACACATACACATACATACACAGACAGATACACACACACATACATATACAGACACACACACAAATACACACACACACATACATACACAGACAGATACACACACACACACATACATACACAGACACACACAGATACACACACATACACATACATACACAGACAGATACACACACACACATACATATACAGACACACACACACGGATACACACACACACATACATACACAGACAGATACACACACACACACACATACACAGACAGACACACACACACACATACATACACAGACACACATATATACATACACAGACAGACACACACACATACATACACATACACACACATATACACATACATACACAAACACACTAACACACATATACACACATACATACACAGACACACATGCACACACACATGCACACACACATACATACACAGACACACATGCACACACACACACCACCCCTTCTCCCATCGCTTGCTCCCATGCTCCCCTGCTGGGTCGTGATGATCACTGCTCACACTTGTAAAAGCATAGCAATGAGAATGGACTGGTCATAAATCCAGACTTTTGGCTTCTTTTGGTGCAGGCGTGAGTTCCCAGGGTTTTAATGATGCTAAAAACAAACTATCTGCTTGTTCTTTAAATAAATGGATAAAATTAGGATAGAAACAATTTTTCATTCTTCTCGGCCTGTCAGTATAACTGGTACTGGTGCTTAGAAACAGCCCTGTGAAAGGTGGGCCATTGTCCTTCAAGAGACTTCCTGCCCAGGCTCCAGGAGGCATTGAACTGTTTCTCTGGAGTAGATCATGGTACAAATTCTGGGTTGGGAAGATCCTAGGAGTTTCTCAGGCACAAGTGTCTGTACAGCAAATGCAAGCGCATAGGTAGGCAGAAGCAGTGGCACTTCACCCCTGGGGGATGGGCCACTAATGAGTGTAATCATGAGCCCCGATGCCCAGGAGAGGCCACTAGCTCGAAGATGAGCTAGTTGCGGCTGCCACAGCCACCTGGCCTTCTGTGATGGAGCACGCTGTCCTTGGAGTAGGGTCCGGAAGCACAGTCTCGGTGCAGATCTGCATGAAGGACCTTGAACCTGGACCACGGCAGGGGAAAGAGAGGATGATGAAGAACTTGATATCCTGGTGGAGTTGGCCGTGTGGTTCTGTGTTTAGAGCTTGCCGGGGGATGCGTGGGCTGGCTCCTGCCCGTGTGACAGTGCAGTCAGCAGAGCTTTACAGGTGACCTACTCTGTTCATTGAGGGACAGAACCTATCCCTATGTGTGTCGCCATCCCAGTCCGATGAGGACAGAGAGGAGTAGCATCGCTGTTCACTCACTGCAGCTGCCTTTAGGGTTCTTAGTCTCCTTAATAAAAGGTTTCAAGAATGAGCTCAATGTAAGCACAAGGGGGATTTTATTAGTATTAAAAGGAGAAGCACGGGGCACATGGGCTCTGAGTCTCAGCAGCTGCCTGGAGGGGCAAATGAAGGAGAAGAGGAGGTCATGTGGTTTAAGCTGGTGTGGTCTGATACAGGCAAGCAAGAGGCCATGTGGTGGGGAGGAAAGCTTTAGAGGAAGGGTAAGGAAGAAGTCAAAGGCTAAAGAGTTGAGGAAAGCAGACTCAGAAAAGAGAGAAGAGCAGGAAAAGTTAGACCCTTATCTGAACAATTCAGAAAATCAGACTTGTGAACCTACTTGGCTGTGGCCTGGGTCTGGAAGCTTCTTCACTAAGAGTAAGAATTCTGGGAAGGGAAAATCTCATTAAAGGACTAATTAGTCCACCTAACTCATTAGCATAGCTTAAGGTGAGCCTTCTTCTCCAGAGGTGGTTCTTTAGCCAAGGTGTTTGACCCAGCTCAGCTGGTAGAGTAGATTTCTCTTCCACCAAGAGATCTTATTCTTTTTTTTGTTTTTTTACTCTAGCACTGGTGGCAACTGTAAATCATTCGTTCTTCATTTATTGGGCACTTCCTCCGAGCCAGCTGTGTTCTTCCTGGTGGGGACATAGTATTTGGGCAAGTTCATTAGTGTTCACATGTTTGTTTCATCTGTACAGTGGGAATTTTATGGCTTCTATTTTGTCTGTGTAATGGGATTAGTGTAGTTTTTTGGCAGTCTCAAACGGATGTAATGGGTATCTTATGTAAGGGGAGACTCTGAGGCTTTATCCACCAGGGATGAAATGGAACCAGCTCTCCTCCATCAGAGACCCCACCTTTCTGACTTCAGCTAAGACTTCTGAGACTTTTATAGGCACAGAAAACCCCAGAACTGGCGGAGACTGCCTGAGAATGAATTGTTCAGGCAGAGGAGAGTGTGTGCCTGTCTTGGTAGCTGAAGTTTAGTTTGGTGTGAAAGAGTTCTTCTGGCTTGGGTGGTCACGCAAAGCCACGCGTGGAGCCACTGGCCTCGAACAAGAGTAAGGGAGAGAGAGAGTGGATGGTTCTTCCCTACTTGGGTGGGGCCTTCTTCTTTCATTGTCTTGCTTTGTCATGGGTGATTCTAAAGTCAGAACAAGCTGCTCAGTTTGTTCTCAACATGTGCCTGTTGGGGTTTCGGAGGAATCAGAGAGGCACCTAGTTTCTCTTCTGGGGCCCTGGTGTTCCTTTGTCTCCAGTGAGAAACCCAATGGTCATGTTCATGTCAGTGTCCACTGGTTTCTCTCCTCCTCGGTTGCCCTTTTTGTATTTTTATTGTTTTGTGACTTCTGTGTATTTAGACTTGTAATTTTTGTTCCTATACTAACAGTCAGACAGTCAGACAGATAGACAGATGAGTGTATAGTACACACACACACACACAATCTCTTGCTGCTGACACTCTCAGGGACTGGTCACCTGGACAGTGGGATTGAAATCCTTCACTAGGACAGACAGACTTTTCTAAGGCCTCCTTCAGGGACAGGAACCTCTGTAGTCCATCTCTCCATCCCAGGAAGAACAGAAGCTTGATTTAGGAATTGCTGTTTGTAGGGTGGGAGTTCTTGAAGAACACTCGGATAGTTCAAGTCCTAAAGCCTTAAAGAAGACACCCAGCATTCATGCTAGCAGAGTCTTACATGGGAGAACACTGTCAGAGGTTTTCAAAGCATGTTTATTTAACAGTATGTGAAAGGAATGATCAATAATGAAAAACTAGAACGACCTGCTTTGTCCTGCAGTACAGGATCAGTTAAGTAGGATTTGGTGCATTCATGCTATATAATTAATTCATGTGATACTATTGCATAGTACTGTGTTTTTTCTCTCTTAGTTTTATTACACTTTATTTTTATGGATGTTTTGCCTCCCTGTGTGTATGCGTACCACTTGCATTCTAGTGACCACAGAGCCCAGAAGATGGCCCAGGATCCCTGGAACTGGAATTACAGATGGCTGCAATGTGGGTGCTTAGAACCTAACCTGAGGTCCTCTGGAAAAAAACATCAAATGCTCTTAAACTCTAAGCCATCTCTCTAGCACCACTATATAGTAATTTTTAAAAGTCTAGTTGTAGAAGATAGCATACAGGTTCAGTGGGGGAAAAAAAAAAGTAAGTTCTAAGGATGGGAGACAGATCAGTTGGGAAAGCGTTACTGGCAAGGATGAGAGCCTGAGTTTGATCCTCAGAACCCACATTTAAAACAAAAAGACAGATGTGGTGCCTTGTGCTTATAATGGCAGCACTGAGGAGGCAGAGACAGCTGGATGCCTGGGGCTTGCAATGAGAAACTATAACTAAGCACACACAGATACCTATGTACGTACATGTAAAAGTAGGTTTTTAAAAGGATGTATATAGTATAAACCCCAATGTTTTTAAAGAAGTATATTTGCTATAGTGATAGGTAAGTATTAATAATGGATTAAACATTAAGGAATTATATCAAAATGTTAATATTTACCAATTAGTGTTGGTTTCAGCATAGATTTTAATTTTGGTTATGTCTTTAGTGATGGAGTATGGGTGACCTAGATTTAAAACCCAGGCACTATCACATACTGGCTGTGTGACTTTATATGAAATGCTTGACCTTGCTGTGTCTTATTGTCAAGATGAACATGCTAGTAAGACTTGTACTGTCTCTAGCGGTGATTGCAGAGAGGGAGTAAACAGGTGAAAGTGCTTAGGCTGGTGATTGCAGAGAGGGAGTAAACAGGTGAAAGTGCTTAGGCTAGTACCTGGTTACCATGGTTACAAGGACCCACTATCTACGTTTTACCTGTGGTTATTTCAAATTCTGCTTTGGTGAACATCACTTTTGTCCTCAAAAAACAAACACACAAACAAACAAAACAAAACAAACAAACAAAACAATGCTAGAGTTCATTTCAAACAAAGGCAAGAGATCAGGCTGCAGGAAGTTCAGCACAATAAAAGAGAAAAATAAATCCCTTTTTGAAAGGCACTGATTAGCCCCAAAGCTAATCTTCAAGATAGAAATTGGGTCATTATCCTTGTAATTTACAGACCAAATTCACTTTGGTCAAATTACCGGGAAAATTAAAAGAAAGACAAAACTTATTATGATTTCGAAGGAGGGGCAGTCATCTTTGGTAGGTGGCCTTCTTCAGTGGGGGATGGGAGTCCAGTGTAGAAAGAATGTCAGTGGGAACCCAGAGCAGAGCTGGAGTGGGTCATTTGTGATAAGTCACTTACCGTGTGATGCCACTCCTGTGTGCCAGCGCCATGCACTAAGGGTCTTGCACACCCTTTAATGTCTTCAGAGGAGGCCCTGAGGACCTCCTGGAGACATGCAGTGCAAAACACCATTCTGACCGCTTCTTGTGTACTGTGCTGTGGTGTTAGGTGCACTGGCATTGTGGCTGATCAGTTGTCGTGTCTCTTTCACAGTGTAGCTACTAAACAGTAGCTCTTTCCCCTCCCCGCCCCTTTATGTCCAGCCTTTGTGCCTGTGACTCCACCTGCAAGTGGATTGACAGCTTTATCCTTTCATGGCTGGCTTTATTCACTTAGCAGAATGTCCTCAAGGCCAGTCTGTGTTGTACTAAACATCAGGCTTTCCTTCCTCTTGGAGGCTGAATACTATTCTTGGAGTTCATGGACCGCAGTTGGTTTATCCCTTCATCTGTCTGTGGAAGCCTGGCTATAGCATCCACCTTTCAGCTGCTGTGTGTAATGATGCTTTCAATAAGACTGTCTTGGTATATTTAGTGCTGCTATTACAGGAAGGCATATAAGCATCAGAAATTTCTTTCTCAAGATCTGGAGTCTGAGACATCCAAGATCAAGATACCAGCAGATTTCATGTCTGGTGCAAGATCACCCTTCATGGCTATGTGTGTGTGAACGTGTGTGTGCGTGCATGTGCATACATGTGTGTGGTATATGAGTGCTTATGTCTGTGAGTACAAGCACATGTGTGCCACGTTGCATGTGTGGGGGTCAGAAGACAACTTTGAATGTCCATCCTCACCTTTCATGTCGTTTGAGACAGATTTCTCTTTTGTTGTTTGTCTATGCTAGGCTAGCTAGCTGGAGAGCTCCCCCTGTTTCTGTCTCTCATCTTGCTATAGAAGCACAGGACTCTAGGACTGTGAGATTTGACCTTAGGTCCTTGTGCTTATGCCCAGAGCCATTTCCCTAGTCTTTCAGTTCATTTGTACTCCATCCCAGTCCTGGCCCAGTCTCTTCATGGTGAAAGGCAGGAGGAGGTCCCTAGGATTTCTTTTGTCAGGGTCATTCTAATCATGAGTGACCTAGCTACCTCTCCTACTTCCTGACACAATTCCCTCAAGGTTGTTATAGATGGAGAAATCCCTACTCCTGAATTCCCCCTAGCCCCAGCCATGGCAGAAATCTTGATTCCTGGGCTCCTGAGGGAGAAGAACTCACAGAGGGGCACAGCTAGAACGAGTAGTCTGTTTATTTTTAACAGGAGGGTAAGCGAAAGTAAAGCTGCCCACTAGAAAGGAGCCAAGCAGACTGGCAGCCGTCTCCACATCTGGACTTCTAATCCTTGACTTACCAATTTCCAGTCATCCTCCCTTGGGGTGCCTTAGGGTGGTCCCTTTTCTAAAATAGCTGAGGAATTTTTTTGGAGTCGTTTTTATCCACAATTTAGTTTGTTATCCTTAAATGTCTTTGATGCAAGACTGCATCGAAATGCAAGAAAGGTGTAACTACCGATGCAGTTGACAAGTTTACTTAGAGAAAGGGCAATGGTTCATGTTCCCTGTCTTAGCTTGGGTTTCTAGTACTGTGATAAAGCACCATGACCAAAGCAACTTGGAAGAGGAAAGGGTTTATTCAGCTTATTTTCATCATCAAAGGAAGTCAGGAGAGTAACTCAAGCCAGGCAGGCGGGAGCTGATTTAGAAGGCATGAAGGAGTGCTGCTCACTGGCTTACTGGCTTGCTCCCTATGGCTTTGTTAGCCTGCTTTCTTATAGAATCCAGGACTACCAGTCCAGGGATGGCATCACCCATAATGAATGGGCTGGCCCTTCCCCTACCAATTAAGAAAATACCCTACAGTCTTGCCTACAATATGATCTTATGGAGGTGTTTTCTTAATTGAGGCTCCCTCCTCTCTGGTGGCTCTAGCTTGTGTCAAGTTGACATAAAACCAGCCAGTACAGTCCCCAGAGGAATCTGTGGGACCTGTCCAAGACTTGCTTGGTTGGTTTTCCTAGAGCCCCACCTTTCCTCTCACATGGTCTGTTTGGCTGTCTCAGATCCCAGCTGCAAGCTCTCTTCTGTATCTTCCCCAGTGTTCCCAGTGACTTGTCCTGGTTGGTTTTTGTCACTTGACACAAATCTAAACATATCTGGGAAGAGGAAACTGTATCCGTAAGACTGTCCTGAAGCCATGTGTGTCTGTGTATCTGTACAGCATTTTCTTGATTGATGATTGATATGGGGGGGGGGGAGGGGGTCCTGGATGGTTTAAAAAAGCAGGTTGAACAAACCACAAGGATCAAGCCAGTAAGCTGCCTTCCTCCATAGTTTCTGCTCTAATTCCTCCTCCAGGTTCCTGCCCTGACTGCCCTCAGTGATGGAGTAGAATGTGGAATCGAAGATCAAATAAAGCCTTTCTTCTGCAAGTTGCTTTTGGTCATGGTCATGATGTCTTTATCACCACAATAGAAAGCATAGCTAAGATACCAACCTCACTGTTTCTACACGAACATTTGTTTTAAATCTAACTGAGGTCAGGTTTCTAGAGCCCTGGCTTTCCATTGGTCTGCTTGGCTGTTTCAGACCCCAACTGCAAGCTGCCGCCTTCCTCTTTCCCAAGGGTCCCTGTGTAAGAGAGTAAACATGAACATCTGGTCTCCCAATTTAGTATCCAGGTATCTCTTCCAGGCCTTGCTTTAAACACGTTTGGGTTTATGCACAGCCATACTAACACCTCTTTCCTTTGGCCACAGGCCAGTCCATTGTGGGCTGCAAGGCCATCCTCATCGACGACCAGGTCTTTGTGGTGGTGGCCCAACTCTTCGGTGGCTCTCACATTTACAAATACGATGAGAGCTGGACAAAGTTTGTCAAATTCCAGGACATAGAGGTGTCTCGAATCTCCAAGCCCAATGACATCGAGCTGTTTGAGATCGACGATGAGACCTTCTTCATCATCGCCGACAGTTCGAAAGCGGGACTGTCCACAGTTTACAAGTGGAACAGCAAAGGGTTTTACTCCTACCAGTCGCTGCACGAGTGGTTCAGGGACACGGATGCAGAGTTTGTCGACATCGACGGGAAGTCACACCTCATCCTGTCTAGCCGCTCCCAGGTCCCCATCATCTTGCAGTGGAATAAAAGTTCCAAGAAGTTTGTCCCCCATGGTGACATCCCCAACATGGAGGATGTGCTGGCTGTGAAGAGCTTCCGAATGCAGAACAGCCTCTACCTTTCTCTCACCCGGTTCATTGGGGACTCTCGAGTCATGCGGTGGAACAGTAAGCAGTTTGTGGAGGTCCAGGCTCTTCCATCCCGGGGGGCCATGACCTTGCAGCCCTTCTCCTTCAAAGATAACCACTACCTGGCCCTGGGGAGTGACTACACATTCTCACAGATATATCAGTGGGATAAAGAGAAACAGCAGTTTAAAAAGTTTAAAGAAATCTATGTGCAGGCTCCCCGGTCCTTCACAGCCGTCTCCACCGACAGGAGAGATTTCTTTTTTGCATCTAGTTTCAAAGGGAAGACAAAGATTTTTGAACATATCATTGTTGATTTAAGTTTGTGAAGGTGTGATTGGAAGGATTTCAAAGATGTGTAGTGTTAGCTCTCACAAGAGAGAGAGGACCAAGAAGAAATAAAATTTAAAAAAAGAAAATCATAAAGTAAGCCAGGCTCAGAGCTCTGAAATTAAAATTCATAATGCACTGGGGGAAATAGTTAGACATTTTCAAACCTTTAGGATTCACATTTTAACCAGGGATTGCATTTTTCTTTTGGCTGATTGCATGACAGGCCTAGGCTGCTGTCTACAAACGACATCTTAAAGCCTGTAATTTCTGAGAAAGGAGTACAGCATCTTCACCATCTAGAAGGCAATGTGCTTCTACTTCATGTTCAATAAGAAAGGATAAAGCGGACAAGATGGGCCAGCCCTTTTAGTGAAATCAAGAAAGACAAAAAGTCCCCGCCCGTCTAACCCCACTGCCCTTTCCTATCCTATCTTAGCAGTCTTGCAGCTGAGAACTAGTAAAATGAAAGTGAGATGAAAAGATTTACTGATCAATCTGTTTGAAAATCTTAGAACTCCCCGCAGTGCTATTTTGAGCCATCCTAGTTTCCTGAAAGTCATGGCCAGGCCGGTCTTCCAGAATCTTCCTCGGTGTAGAACCTCGGCTCTGTCCTCATCTGGGTGGATCTCCCTCATGAGTACACTCCCAGCTTAGTGTTTAACATCGTTTCCTCTGCCACAGAGAGAATATTCTAGTGACACGTGTTTAGGCCAGCACGGGACGCGCCCGAGATAAAAGGGTTTCCCTCTTTTTTTTTTTTTTTTTTTGGTTTAAAGTTGACCCTCGAGGTGGCTGGAGCAATCATGCATGTTTGATGTCCTCTGTTGCTCACTCAAATCTCTGAACCTGTCCTTTCAGTTTGTGGGTAACTGGCAGACAGGCCAAAGGCTGAATGGTGCTTTTCATCTGTCCCTTAGAGGGATGGAACAGGTGTTTCCATCTCCTGTGCATCGGATAGAGTTTTTGAAGTGAGATTTTACGGAGTCAGAGGGCACTTCACTCAGATCTCCGTGTGCTTTGAGACCCAGAGGGGGTCCTTTGATTGTTGCATGTCTTTGCCCTCTGGACGACTTAATATTTCAAGTAATTGATTGAATAGCAACCTGCCTACCTACCCACCTGCCTCCCTTCCTCCCGGTACAGTCCTTTGTTAACTTGTAGGTATTACAGTGGCTGGCTCATGCAGCTCTGCTGAAGTTTCTAAACATACAAAAATCAAAATCGCAGCTTGGATACTTGAGACAGGGGCACACCTTCCTCTTCTGGGACACTTAGCAGTAGGAAGCATGGCCATACACTAGTGGTGGGGTGTCCGGTAGAACTTCAGGCAAGACCAGCTGGAACCAGATGAGCTTAATCTCAAAGACTGGGTCTGTGTGTGGGACCAGGTGGCTTATTTCAAAATAGGCCTCCAGTGGGAACAGCAGGGAAGCTCTTGGGGTCTGGTTTTGTCGATGGTTGCACAATGGGTATTCTGTCTGAGCAGCTGCTTTAGGGGAGTGTTTTGCAGGGTAACCCTGTCCCACTGCGGTATGATGTAGTTTTTATGGTCAATCTCATGCTCACTCTGTAGATAGGTAGAGGGTATGGCGCAAATGTGAATGCATCTGTTGTTTCCTGACTGTAAGCAGCAGGGAATGATCAGTGCGCCACACTGGAGAGCTATGCACTGATGGTACTCAGGACTCCTGGCTGATGCTTCCAGCCTAGGGGGTCAAGGACTTTAATGAACTCTGGCTCTATAGTGTGGTTGCTTACACCGCTGGTGCTAAATGCCAAGCAAATGGAAATAATGGTCTGTTTTAATGTTCTAAGCGTAAATTATGCTTTCTTTGCATTCATTTGTCTTCTTGGTTCATTTGGATTGTCCATGAGTTCCCAGCTCTCCATATTGGAGGCTGAAAGTGTGATGTTTCTGCTAATTCCTTCCCCTGAAGAACTGGCGAGCCATGTTCCTCCATGCATGGGTTCCCCAGACAGGCTGGTAGCACTGATGTCAGGTAGAAATAACACTTACACTTCCCACCGCTTGTAGAGGAACACACAGGGATGTCTCCCAAGAGTGCCACCTCTACAGAGCCTTGCACCAGCTTCTCTGTGCCTCCTCACAGGGAGAAGCCAGGGACTTGCCACGGCCATGGCTTAGAGTTCAGAAAGCCAAGATACGGGGTTTGACTTGGGGGTGGGCCAGGCTGTCAGACCCAGATGAAGCATTTGGGGATCATAAAAGACCCCTGGTAGGTGGTGGGGCTGGGGTATGAGAGGATGGGCATTCTGCTCTACTGCAACCAAGTTTTCTTTTAAAGACAAGTTTATACAAGACTGGAGTTTGCAGCCTTCTGAGTTCTGCGCTATGGGAGGAGATATTTGTTCTGGCCAACTTAGCGAGGCAACATAGATGTTCTTGGCATAAGGTAGGAAGCTTTGCTTCATTAATCTTACTGCTCTCTCCCAAGAATCCCTGAAGTTTTAAGCAATTTCTGCAAAATGCTTTCTACCAGTAAAATAACAAAACCCACCCACACAGCCATAGCAAGAACCCAAAGCAGAGAAATGCACAGGACTGTCCAGCTGAGAGGGACTGGTCCCCCCCTCTTCCCACCCTTTCTCCCTCTCTCGCACTCTTCCTTCCTCCCTCCTCATTTCTTCTTTCTTTCCTTCCCAACACCCATCCACTGACATCTGCTTAGCTTGTCCTTTGTCCATTTCTGCAGCTGGGCTCCTAAGATGGTCCCTCCAATCAGTCATGTGGCTTTAAGGCCAAAACCTGAAAGCAAGGGTTAGTCCTCAGACTGTAGGATCCGTAGTAGATTTCTATAAAGACTAAAAATAAACCTTAGGGCTGACAAGCACTTTGTTCTTGGGCTTTGGATAAGATCAGCTCGCATCCCGGAAGCTTCCTGTCATTCCTGCTGTGCATCTGTGTTCTGCTCATGTGTCACATGGAGCTCTTTGGCTTACGGAGGGCAGGTGTTATTCTAATTTCAGAGAGAAGGAGGTAGACACAGAACCGAAGTGGATGGCCTGCCTGAGATTGTCCAGTTTTAAGCAGCAAAGCTAGAACTTTCCCGTGGACAGCAGGTGCTGTGTTTTCTCTCTCTCGTACTCTGCTGTGCCTGCCCCAAGACAGACTCTGTTACCATGACAGTGAAGACAACAGCAGTTCTTGTAGATTAAGTAAATGTGCAAGAAGAATGAAGAACCAGGGGGAAAGTCATGCCCGATATACACCGTTCAATCATCAATGCCATCAAACAATTAGCAAGCACCTCAGAACTATGGGACATGCCTAGCCGGGCTTGAGAAAGCCTTCCAGAAGTGGTGGATGGCTTCAGTTGTCTAGGGAGGATTTCTAGCAGGCATGGCTGTATCTCCTCGAACATAGCCATGCAGGGAATGCTGAGTCTGGACACATCTGGTTCTTGTCACGATGTCTACCAGATACGATGAGTTCTAGGAGAGAGAGATTAAAAACCCCAAACACAGGAGCAGTGATGAATTGCTCTGGGCCATTGTTGTGTTGTTCTTCTCGTGGAATGAGGCTGTGTGTTTTTAGGGGAAAAAAAAATCAATGTGAGATGTTGCAAGTTGAGCTGCTAGGAGTGCTCACGATGGAAATTTCTCTGGCTAGGGGAGCTCCATGCAAGCCAGATGAAGGTCTGAGGGAGGCTCTCCGGTTTGCATGCCCCCTAAAGGAGATCTCACGGCAGCTTCCTGACTCTTCTGCAGAAGACTCACTCCTCGTGTGGCTTCACTCCTTGTGGGACGGAAGTTACTTCCTTAGACAATGCCAAGGGTTTTGTTCGAAAGCGTGCTAGAGCAGAATCAGCAACCTAGCAGCAGGTGCATAGAACAAGTTTAGATCTGGGGCACCATGGAAAAAGTGGGGAGAAACGCAGGGCAGATGATGGTTAGGGAATGAATGCTTTGTGGGGAAGGAGGAAGAAGCTTGAAAGAGTAATTTAATAATTTAATAATTTTTGTTGCCTTAGCAGAGGGTAGAATGACCAGGCATATCGGCAGCATGCCAATCATTGAACAGCATCCTCTGGAATGCTGATTCAAGTAACAGTGACATCATTGGGCCGCTGGACTCTCAGCCGAGCACTCTGCTCTTTACCCTGTCCCATTGCTTGTGCCAGAAGCCACCTTTTTCTAGTGGGAAACTACGCATTCCCTATCCAGCCCCCTGACTATCAGGAATGTACGAGAACTGTGATAAAATAGGCCAAGATGCCATTTGGTACTGTTTTTATGTCTTTTAAATGCACAACTTAGGTGAAATAATACTTTATACGTGTATGGAAGTAAGTTTTACAGTAGGCGGACAATGGCGGGTGTGTTTTCAAGTTGTATCTACTTAGCTCTTTTTGGAAAATAGATTGAACACATGATATGCCTCTTAATTCTATATATTCTGTAATCCTATGAATAAAAAGTAGTAAATGCCTATTGCAGCTTTGATCTCTGGTCTGCTTTAAAAAAAAAAAACTGGGTGTACCCCCTGGATCACAGAGCTGAAGGGTGCTGCAGAGAGCCAGGCGTTTGGGGAGGACGGAGATATCTCTATGGCTGCCTTGCTGTTTAAACAGAAGATAGGCACCATGGGGGCCATTTGGGTTTTCACTTGGAAACTAAGAATTCATTTAAAAGCCATTAATATTCACTGAAGAACTTCCTACCTGATCTGTGGTCTCAGAAGCCTGCTAGGTGGGCTAGGAGTTCCAGGAGTCTCTCAGGAGTTTGTGATTATCTGGGACAATTAGAGGAAGGGTATCTAAATCTTGTCTTGTAGAACTCCTTGAGGGTGGGACTTCCATCCTCTGTGTGTCTAGGATCTAACCGTCACTTAGAAGTCTATAGCACATGGCTGTCACATGTACCTTAGCCTCGGACCCATTGGTTTAGCTGGACAAAGGAAAGGTCAACAGCCTAATTTACATAACAGAGACAATACCTACTGTGTGCAGAGTACTCTGATGTGCAGGGAGCTTCATAAAAAGTGCTTAGGTGCCGGACGGTGGTGGCACATGCCTTTAATCCCAGCACTTGGGAGGCAGAGGCAGGCAGATCTCTGAGTTTGAGGCCAGCCTGGTCTACAGAATGAGTCCCAGGATAGCCAGGGCTATACAGAGAAATCCTGTCTCAAAAAACAAAACAAAACAAACAAAAAAAGTGCTTAGGTGTAGTTCACTGGATCATAGACAGCAGTATTGCTAATTGAATAACAACAAATTAAGTAGATAGCTGATGACTGCCCAGGCCTGGCCCAGTACCAGCTTTCTGTTGCTACAATTGTACCCCATTCCCAGGGGCAGGAGCCCAGGCATGGCGTAGCTGGTGCCTCTGTTCAAGGTCCCCTAGGACCATGTGTGACATCTCCTGGAGCACCAGTTTGTTCACAACATGGAATTTACTTTCTTGTGATTGTCATTTGAGAGTCCCCATCTCCTTGCTGGTCCTTGGATGGGGGGCTTCTTTCAGCTCTGAGAGCCTACCCCCAGGTCCCTGTACTTCTCCAGCATTCCTTCAGCCACATAGCTATGAGCTTTGCCAGGTCATCTGGAGCCCAGAAGAGAAAACCCATCACTTTGGCCCGGTTTTATTGCTTTGACGCAGGTCACAGACTCTGCTCTCATCCCTTGAAGGTCTCTATGAGGACACAATTTATGAGGACCGAGAAGTCAACCTCTCTCGATTGGATGCTCAGGTCATCAGAACAGGCCCCAGCTATCAACTGGCATTCACTCAGAGCCAGGGCAACAAGGAGCTGTACGTAGAGAGAGCTGATTCTTAGGGACAAGTTCACTGTGGGTCACAGGAAATACCTTTTTGATTGGCAGATATAAGGTCTTTTGCGTTCTTATTTTGTAATTAAATCCTTGTTTCATGTTTGTGAGGTGCAGAAAAGAAGTAAAAATCTCCAAGCCTGCAAGCCTGAAGCTCCTTAAAGCAGAGGCTGATCCTGACAGCCCGGTGTGGTTGGTCTTGGATATCTTTGAGGCTCGGCAATCCCAACAGAGGCAAGGACTCTTTCCTTCTCCGTTCCTCAGAGCGCTAATTGAAGCCGAACTGTCTGGGAAGAATTGGAGCCCCGAGTAATGTGTTCCCTTCACTGATCAAATGGCTGTACAGTTGGCTCGTACGTGTCTCCCAGACAGGACATTCCATTACTAGCTGGGTCTAATTGGCACAGATCACTTTTTTAAAAAAGCAAAAAACAACCACAAAAAAATGAATTGGTAGCAGAGGTGAAGCTGAAGGCATTCCACAAACCCAACCTCCTGGCCTCTGCTCCAGACAGCCTCTCCTTAAGTGTGAACTTCTGGTCCTGCCTGGAGTCAGTCAGCAAACCAGGCAGGAAGGCTGTGGAGGGTGAAAGGGTTCCTCAGGCGGTAGCTTAGCAACCACTGCCATCTCTGACCCCTCCAGAACCTTCTGTACAGACCTCTGGGTGTCTGGTCCAAGAGGCTTCCAATAGACAGGAGGGAAAGGACAGCTGGGTTTCCCTCAGGACAGGAGGAGAAAGTTTAGCTCACCGAATCAAGACTGTCGTTGTTCCCACCCCCTCAAGATGGCACAGAGCTCAGAGCCCTGTCTTAGTTCCAGGTTGGGTGAGAGGTAGTCACTCTGGGACAACCCAGTTTCCTTAGGGAGGGCATGGTAGCCAAAGGCAACAATGAACCAGGGGAGGGGCTACAAATAAAACAGGGGAGGGACTTCCGGTAAAGTGTCACTCTGGATGCTTGTCCTGGCCAAGACTCCCACGTTCATTTTCCTTCAGTCTTTTATGAACGGTGGACACACCGCAGTTCCATAAAATTTGTTTTTTAATTTCATGTTTACGTCCTTTCCCAGTCCCTTTATAGTATACAGTGCCTTGGATCTTACATCACACGAAAGTCCCAACTCTCTTGTTCATCAGACTCTTTCTAGCTAATTCTGAGTTCTCACCATGTGACCAGTGCTGTGTGTTGTCAGAATTCAGAAGTCTTAAGAAAGAGACAAAAGGCAGGGCTTCGTGGCACACGCCTTTAATCCCAGCCCACAGGCCCCAGAGGCAGGCAGAGCTCTGTGAGTTTGAAGCCAGCCTGGTCTACACAAAGCCCTAGTCCAGCCAATGAGAAAGCGAGTGTGTGAGTGTGTGTGTGTGTGTGTATGAGAGAAAGAGAGAGAGAGAGACAGACAGACAGACAGATAGAGGCAGAGACACAGAGACACACAGCCACAGAGAGAGACAGAGAGACAGGAGGAGAGAGAACATGAGTAAGGGAGTATAACCCTTAATGAAACAGCCCACACGCCACACAGATAGGACCAGCTGTTTTGAGTTCTTCTCCTTATATCCAGAGCAGAAGAGGAAGGCCTTTGTCCAACCTTCCACAGGCCGCTTCTGAATCTCTCTCTATTGTTTCTGTCCTCTTTGTAAGCTCTCCACTCTGTCCATGCCTGACCCCATCTCCTTTCTCCACACCCATCTCCCTCAGCAGAGAGAGGGGGAGATGCGGACACCAGCTAACACTCAAGTATTTGATCCCCGCTGCCATCAGTTCAGCCAACGGTTAGATCCTTCTGCTTTGGCTTCCCTCCTCTATGCTGTTCTACTCCTGGGGACTTTTACGTTTTTCTCAGATTCCTCCATGCTCCCTCCATCAAGAGGTGGGGCGTTTGCCGACTTGCTTCTAGGATAAAAATGTCACACAATGGTTAAAGATTTATAAGAATAGGTGAATATTTTTGTTGGTTTGTTTTTGAGACAGAGTCTCATGATGCAGTCCTGGCTGGTCTGGAACTTGCTATGTAGACCAGGCTGGACTTGAACTTCCAGTGATCACCCAGCCCTTGCCTCTCAAGAGAACAGGTCTTAAAATGCATTGGGTGTCTTTATCTCCTCAACCACAATCTCTGAGGAAGACCTGCTGCTGTGAGGTACTCCAGACATGTGCTGAGGAGCCCACAGGAGAAACAGCTTCACATCAAGAGTGGCAACCTCTGCCGAGCTTTTGGATGACCCAGATCTGGCTGTCATCTTGACTGTCATCTCCCTGTGTCAGAAAGGCACTGCGTAATTGCTAGCTCACAGAAACAATGTGAGAGTTAAGTGTTTATTGTTTTTAAAACTGGTGAGTTTGCGGGGAAGTTTAGTGTGAACCATAGGGTAATATATTCCCTTTCCGTTGTCACATAGGATGAAGTCACTGTTAGATGGAATTTGTTACTTTCAGAAGGTTTAGGAACCAACACAGACATGCTCCACCGCCGAGAGAAGCATTTTCCATACACAAATCACCTAAACTCAGGCAGGTGCATGACACCTCTGTTAGCTTTCTCTCAATGAGGCAAGTCTCTACTGGATGTCATAAGCAACTGATTTGATGGTATTTGCCCATCTACTGGTTACTGCTATGCTACATGCTTAAACTCACGCATTTGAAACTGAAGTATGGCTACCATACAGCATACTCTAGGTCTTATAATGTCCCTTATAATGTCCCTGGCAGCTCCTGGGGTTTGAGATCGCCCTGTCCCAAGCCATCTGAGTACCTGAGTACCACATCCCTCGAGAAGCAAGGCAAACACCCACACAACACTTTTTTAGTAGTAAAGATCATACCATGAGGCTTGTAGTGCTCACCCTGGTGCGGACTTGCTGACAGGAAGGGGGGGGCATTCCTACTCTCTGCAGGAAGACCAGAGCGGCCAAACTAAGGTAGGTACCAAGAAGCCCAATTTCCTGGTTCTAAGTGACTCAGCTTACTGTGTAGGAGCTGGAGAGAACAAGGCTGCTGGGAGTCTCACAGCAGGACTCCCATCTGGCGGAAGCAAAACTTTGAAGTGGGAAGAAAACCTCTTCCACCAAGGTCAGTTGTCAATTACACCCCCTTCTGAGAACAAGACAACACTCCTGGTATCCTTGAGAAGCTTCCATTTGCAAACTCTGCCCAGCGACCAGAGAATCTATTTTTACCCGGTTGGAAAAGATCTTTTTTTCTCTGAGGCAGGTTAGGGAAGAACAGTTTGGTAAGGAAGGACATCTGCAGTACAGGTGATGAGGTCTGTGACGGGGGACCCGACCAAGGGAAAGCTGTGGCAACAGTCTCCTCACCTCACTGTCCCTTCTTACCAGTCTGCGCTCACCAGATTTTCATATTGCAACGTCCTGATGACAGGGAGCTACAGTGTCACTGAGGTCCTGAAAGAAGCCGGTCAATTCACACATAGAAAGTGAGAAGTTTTCTGGTGATTTGTATCTCCAGCCAAGCAGAGTATCTGCTCTATTTACTAAAAACACAGCTCCCCACGGCCTGCCATCTGCATTTACAGTGGCACAGACTGCTGAGGTGGCGTTCCCTCCCTCTGTTGACTGCCAGCCATTTGCACCCTCTGTCACCATAAATAACCTGACCAAACCTCCAGTGTGTAGGTTCTAGCCCAGGCTCCGTGTAGCCCAG